CCCCAAGCCTGTAGCGTTGCATGGGGTTGTTGTGACTGAAGTGCAGGACCTGGCACTTAGTCTTGTTGAACCTCATCCAGTTGGCCCCGGCCCATCGGTCCAGCCTGCCCAGGTCCCTCTGTAGGGCCTTCCTACCCTCCAGCAGATCAACACTTCCACCCAACTTGGTGTCATCTGCAAACTTACTGAGGGTGCACTCGATCCCCTCCTCCAGATCATCAATGAAGATATTAAACAGGACCAGCCCCAGTACTGAGCCCTGGGGAACACCACTCGTGACCGGCTGCCAACTGGATTTAACTCCATTCACCACCACTCTCTGGGCTTGGCCGTCCAGCCAGTTTTTAACCCAGCGCAGAGTGCACTTATCCAAGCCGTGAGCAGCCAGCCTGTGCCTGGAGAATGTATTTATATACGGATTACTTTAAGCAACAGGAAAAAATCTAAAAAGGTGTTCGCGTAAATGAAAACAGTCATATAAGATTAGCTGATGGTATACTACTAATTGATTTTGCCTACAGGGAACAGTTAATATTCTAATCTATGCATATAGTCAGTATGTATATTTCGAGATGCTAATATTTTGCTCCAGAGGCTGAAAAAATTGGCTAGTCTTGCAGTAATTTCCTATACTGTGCTTCTTAACATCCAGGCAGCATCAGCTTTAGTTCATTGAGAGTTTACAGTTATGTGGATTTTCATCAATGGATGTCTTATATGACACCTTTTTGGCCAAGTCAGCAAAATGTCTCAATCAGTCCATCAGACCAGTCCATTGGCAAAATAAAGGCACAGTAGTAAGCACTTTCTTTAGTTAGTGTTGTTTTTTTTGTGGGAGAGGGGACTTTTCTATAGGATTTGATACAGACAGGATTTTACACAAAATCCTTGTTTTCCATTTTTATGTATACAGAGATAATTAATTTCAAGCATGTAAATGGCAGTTTACCCAACAACTGTATTTTTTTTTTAAATCTATTTTTTTAATGGCTGAATTCTACTTGATAAGTGGGAGACAATTCCTGTCCTTACCTTTCTCCTTCCATGAGCTGGTCAAGGCACTTCTGGACCCTGTATTAGAATTTATGATTCTTTGTGAATTCTCTATTTGTTCTCCACTAAACAGTTAATTTTCCTTTTGTAGCTGGAAAGTCTCCTGGTAGTTGATTAGTACATATGATCTTTCATTTAGGAATTATTGAACCGATCTATATGGTAATGATGTTCTACTATTTGCATTTAAATTAGATGAATTATTTATCAACTATCAAGTATATCCCTAAAGCATTGCATAGTAGACTTAATACTTCATGTGATTATTTTCTATTGTCTTTGTTTTTACATCATATAAGGTTTTGACCTACAAACAAAATAATCCATATTTATACAGGAAGTCTATGGAAACTTCTCACCTTATAAATTACTATTTTTAAAATTTGTTATGTGTTTGGGTTTAATAACAAAGGAAGCATTCTAAACTTTACCAGTCTTGCATAGTTTGGTGAAAAGAATGTTGTTTATAGTTTATGACCACTTGCTGTAATACTGTAGTTACCATGATCAATAAGATTATCAAGATGTTTTTTTGCTTGTTATGAACACAGCTATTACAGTGTTTGTGGTTCAACCTATGGACTAAAAAGTTATGAAATTGAAGAAGTAAATATAGAATTGCATTTTCTGTAAGTCACTTCATTTTTTTTTTTTTTGTGCTCATGTTTGCTTATGTTCCATTTTTGCTTTGCTTATGAGACAGTACACACCCATATTCTTAATTGTATATTTCCACTGTGCTTCATTTTATTGACATTGACCTACCTACAGGTGCACATTAAACCTTTAAAAACCAGAAGAATATTTTACTCTGAAGGTATTAATTAAGAGATTTTAAAACACTTATATATACACTGTGTTTAGTCCTCTACCAAGTAATTGTGATTGGTTCAGGGGAAAAAAACATAAAAATCTGCCTAGTGGTGGCTACAAGGGTACCAAGATCTCATCTCTGTATCTGTAGAATTCGAAATGGAGTCCGCAGCACTGGAGTTATTAGCATTGTATTTGTCTGAATGCCTGTAAAGGATTACAGTTGCCATCAGGTGTTGATGCAGTGTCCCACTGAGCTTTGCCAGGAACTGGTTTCTGTACCTTGCCAGCTCACCAGAACAAGACATGCAAGGCTGTTGGTGGGAAATGGTCAGGCAAAGGTCTATATCACCCACATCTGTCCCAGGAGTTTTGGCAAGGAAAGAGTTCTGGAGCTGTCCTCGTTGCCCAAAGTATTTGCTGGTCATCTCAGCCCATGTTGAAGTGGAGTTGCCTATTTCTTGTTTCTTTTTTTCCCTGTTCAAATATATTTCAGGTCAGAGTGTGTGGTCCAGATTTGGGACCCATCAAGCTTAATAATACCTATTTGTAATCTCATTATGTGTATCTTGCTAAGTTATGCCCACTGTGGTGAATTCAGCATTGAAACTAAAGAACACTTGCCTATTTAAATTTTAGTTGTCTCAGATGCATGTGTGCAAGAACCAATCACAAAAAGCATGAAGAGAAAATTTTCCCCTTGGAAACTTTCCCCTTTTGGTAGCAAAGTTCATTGCAATTTTCTATGGAAAAGAAAAGTTTCTTCTGGCCTGTTTCAGACACAAGATGTTGTACTAGTTGTGCATGGTTTGGTATGGGGATTCCTGTAATAAGAAGGCTGGCCTCACTACAGCTTTTCTTCCAGGAAACGCAGAGTTTTAAAAAGAAATGGTGTAACAGTTAATTTTACATTGTAGGCTGGAAAAATGTGTGGAAGCTAAAGAAGAACTAGAGGCAGATCTTTATAACCGGTTTATTTTGGTGCTGAATGAAAAGAAGGCAAAGATAAGAAACTTACAGAAGTTATTGAATGAAGCGAAAGAATCTGCAGCAGATGCCAAATGTACAAGGTATTTCTTAATTTTCCTGATTTACTTAGTATCATACCTATTGCACACGTTAGTTTAGTTTCCATTTCTTTGGCTGTATCAGTGAGTGACAGTTCTTCCTGGCTAAGTGCTTGGTTATCCAAAACAATACTGGTAGTCATGAGAGCAGAGGATTCTTTGTGGCGTCACTGCAAATAGCAGCATATTGTTTTGGATGCTGTAGCCAAAAACTAAATATTCAATGAATCTGTCATCTTCTTTTTTCTGTTAGGTTGCAGTTGATTTTCCAGAGTATGTCTCTGCCATTTCCGTAGGTGATACTTTCATATGCATTCTCCCTGAATTATTTGATTCCTTTTGTCCTTTGGGAAACAAAAATATCGATATCTAAATGTTTTTTTGTGTACATTTTATTTCAAAAATATCCAGAGAAGATGACTCATTCTAATGCTACAACACACCTTAATTTGTCTGCTATTTTTATCTTGCTTTTTTATATCTTAACTTACCTGTTGTTGTCTGTCCTTTATATATGAATGCACTGAGCTGTTCAGCATGGCAAGTCCAAAGAAGGGCAACGAAGCTGGTGAAGGGTCTAGAGCACAAGTCTTATGAGGAGCGGCTGAGGGAACTGGGGTTGTTTAGTTTGGAGAAGAGGAGGTTGAGGGGAGACCTTACTGCTCTCTACAACTACCTGAAAGGAGGTTGTAGCGAGGTGGGGTCAGTCTCTTCTCCCTAGTAACAAGCGACAGGACAAGAGGAAATGGCCTCAAGTTGCGCCAGGAGAGGTTTACATTGGATATTAGGATACCCAGGGAAGTGGTTGAGTCCCCATCCCTGGAGGTGTGTAAAAGACGTGTAGATGTGGTGCTTAGGGACATGGTTTAGTGGTGGATTTGGCAGTGCTAGGTTAACGGTTGGACTTGATGATCTTAAAGGTCTTCTCCAACCTAAACAATTCTGTGATTCTATGGGGACTTTACATTGACTTGTATCAGCTTGCATTGCTTCTGAGACAGTGCAGAATTAATTATAAATTTATATATATATATATGCAGAATTAATTATAAATTAATTATAAATTCTTTGCAGGAATAATAGATGGCAAAGATGTGCTTGCTTTCTTCCCCCCCTTTTTTTTTTTTTTTTTTTTTTTTTTTTCCCCGGGGGTATATTTTCATTACCATCAGGTAAGACAGAATGTATTGTCTTTGGGGAATATCACGGACAGGCCAATCACTTTCTGTGAATAAACCTTAATGAAGACAAAATACTACCTGACAAATTGCTCTGTGAAGCCAACCTGGAAGCCTTAAAAATACCTCTCTTGAAGCAGAGTATAATACTAGCATTTTCAAATTAGAAAGAGGAAGTTTAAAAGCATGTTGCACAAGTGAAGGTACTGTCATTTCTTCCAAAATGACAAATTACATACTTTGCAGAACTAATGACAGTCTAACAGTATCTGAACCATCAACAATTCCATTTTAAATTCTAGGAAACATGAGGTGTATGCAATGATTGCTAAAATGTCTAATGTAGTTCCTGGCAGTTTCAATAGTGTTTAAAAAGGGGAAAGAGAGGAGGTTTAATGGCTATAAAAAGACCTGTGTGCATAAATGGAATAAAAATGTATTTATAGCAGAATTAATTTTAATTTGTCAGTGAATTTTTGGCCTCACGAAGGTGCTCATGAAACTTAATTTGGCTAATTTTTCCAGGACTAGAGACTTGTAAATTGTATGGAATACAGCAGTTGCCCATGCTACAACTGTGAATCAGAAATTTTGCTATATGTTGGCAAACTAGTAGCAATATGCAGGACAAATGCTATCAAAGTTTTAAAACTGCATTGATACTTGCCATATAGCTATTATAAACTTCCCTTCAGGTGTGCAAAGTTTGCTATGGGTTCTCTCACTGGAGCTTTCTATTTCCACCATAGGTAAAGGTAATCAAGACAACAACTTATTACAACTGTTTACTGTGCATACTGGGAACCAGAACTGTTCAAGACCCTGATACCAGGGATATTCAGCTATGTAACTCATATGAGCCTGTTTGTTGAGGAGTTTCTAATATAATGTAAAGTAGACAGAGCTCCAGACAAATGTAGAAAGTTGCAATTATGGAAAGAAATTATTTTGTATTATACTATGCTCTTCAGTTCAGAAATCTTTGCTTTCAAGTGGTATTTGGTCAGTTCAGGTAATGTGGGGAGAAATAGTTTACATTTAGTGAAAAGGCAAGGGAACTGGAAGGTGTTGATTCTTTTGCTAGATTCAATAGGACTTAATTAGATCAGTGGGATTTTTGAGACAGACACATGCCCCCTACTCAGGCAATCATGAGGGACTGGACTGATCAATGTTATAGAAAAAAATAGCAACTTTGTTTTTATTTGAGTTGTAAACAAAAATGTGGTTTCTGTTGACTTTGAGGGATAGAACACTCAGGATTTTGATCATGACTAGAGAGTTCTTTCAACTGCAAAATTTGCAAATAATATGAAGACTATAAACTTAATCCTTTGGGTAACACAGTCAAGTTTTTCAAGGTAATGGCATTCTTGAACCTGCACAATGAGTATCACTTAGGTCAGTTGATACTCTTCCTGTGTACACAGCTTTTTCTTTCCATGAACAATGGAGAAGCACAGATAGGAGCTGAATATCTTGGTGTGGTCCAGGATTTTTCATATGCAAAAAGAGGTCTGAGGCAGACTGTGTCTCTATGAAGAAGACAGTGATTCAGGGGTGAGTGGCATGAGACGATAATGAAGCTCAGGTACATCAAGCTTCAAGGACTGTAAGGCATAAAAGATAATACAGATAATGTTTGGGTTTTTTCTGTTTTATCTGTAGTTTTCCTATATTTTAGTCCAATATTACATTTCTTTTCCTTTTGGATTTGGAATGTCATTGTGTGAGTTGCAGGAGTTAATGAGAATTAGAGGATTTTTAAGAATATTTTAGTAGATATTGGTGAAAGCCACAATCAAGAGTGAAGATCATAATTTAAAAACTGCTTTGAAGCAAAGTGAGGGCAGATGTGTATACAGATACATATACACATATTAAGCATGCATTTGTATGTGTGCATGTCCAAAATTTAATGCGAGAAGCTGATGCTGGTTGTCATAAATGAAAAGTAGGAACTGCAGGAGATGGCTGAAGAAAGCAACATGATATAAAGGCAGAGAATCTCAGGCCAGGAGGTAGAAGGCCAATGACCAGTCTTCACGTTAGTTGAGAACATATATGCAGCTGTTATTGTGTAATGACAAAAAACCAGTAGTAATTGAAAAAGCAGCTGTGTTCAGTCAGTGCTTTTGGTTTGTGTTTAGGGGGGAAAAAACTAGCTGTAGTTGCATCATAATGTACTTCTGTTCTAGCAACTAAGGGGGACATGAAAGAGCAGCTGTGAAATCTAGACATTTTAAAATTAGCCAGTCAGGATATGTTGAACTGCAGAGTTTAAAAAGCTGCCTGGAAATTTTTCTTAGCTACCAATAATTGGGAGGCAGGGCAATTTCTAGAATTTTTGGGGCACTGGGAGCATTCCAGGGGATTTGGAAAAAAACTGCTAATATTTACCAAAAGAAAAAGTACACGAAATGGCACAATTGGTTAAGGGTATATCAGTCTGGTGTTGATCTGATGCAAATATTGGAACAGGACTCAATGAAGAAAAATATTAAAAAAAAGGAATAAGAATGGTTAATTCCAGTCTTTGTAAAGATGGAGAAGCCGTAGATTGAAAACTTAGGTACTCATGTCTTTTGTGATGAGATTACCAGCTGGCTCATGGAGGTGAAATTAGTAAAGTAATAGACTGACTTCCATAAGATATCATGCTGCATCACATTTTAATCAAGAAATTGGAACATGGAAATTAACATAACACATGATAAATAGATTCTTAAATGGGGTAATATGTCTATCTCAAAATATAAAATGGAAAGTTATCAGTCCTTGAATCTGAGGAGTGTGAAATTGAAGATAATGTGTATAAACCAATTTGCATTTTGTGATACACCAACTATAAACAAAACTTGAGCATTCTAACACAGTGTAATGCAATGATTTCCAGTCCTTTGACAGCTGCACTTCACTTGAGAATACCAACAGTGTCTCAAGCTTTGTTTTGCCTAGCTTCTTCTGCCACGTAAAGCTGGGTACCTCCAGGGTTTGCCATCATCTTCCCCATGTGGACCCAGCTGGCAAAGCCAAGAGCTACTTGGACATCTCTTGCACTCTGCTTCATGTTGCACCCCTTCTGGCATGGTGGCACTGTCCTGCCTGGACTTGCAGGAAACAGGCTTGGTCTTAGCTCAAGTTAGTTCAGTTGGTCTCTGTCTGACCTCTTATCAGTTTATAACTTCCCAGTGCTACCTGCCTCACCTGATAGGGAACCACTGGTCTAGTGTAAGGATACTTTGGAAAATAAAGACCATACAGAAAATTCTCTGAAGCAGCAATGACTTTATTTAAGGGAAAAAAAAAAAAAAAAGACGTTGAGGGTGAAAATAAATAAGCAGATTTGCAATGTTAGGGCAAAAGTGACTTTTGAGTCAATATGTGATTTAGCCCCTTGATGCAATGCTGTGCCACGTTTGGACATCAAGATTTGAAGAAAAATGTTAGCAAGTTGCGGATGATAAAATGGTGGTAACAGTGGAGGGATTAGCAAATGATTTAAATGAAATGCTGAGAAGGATCTTAAAGGATCATTGTTTTCATGGTCAAAAAGAAACTACGTTGCAAAATTATGTGATGGTAGATGGTCTTTCCATCCAGCAGATACAGGTGTTTAATGAACTTGAATAACTGGAACTTAACATTAGACAAAGACAAAAGTGGGAAATTATCCCTGACAGGATAATTAACTGTTGGAACAGTTTGGAGTGGGTTATGATGGGTTCTGTCCATCACTGCCAGCGCTGAAATCACAATGGCATGCTTTTAATAAAAAGACATCTTGTTCATGTAAGCATGAACTTAAAAGAAGTACACAGCCTA